CCAGAGTCCTTCCGCTTTGTCTTCAATATGTGATTTTGACACTTTATGTAAAATGTAACACCCACAAAAGATTCATATATATTCCAACATAAGTATAAAATGTATTATAAAACTATGTATGACTTTTGAATTAGGCATCAGTGTCTCTCCCTGCCCTCCCCATCAATGTGGATAACTGGAATTTGACTACATTATGAGTTTTCACAGAATGGCTTTACGAGGAAGGCTAGAACTCCAGCAATTAAACTTCAAAAAATATTGTATCTTAATGGCCTTATCTCAGAATAAGGATAATAATTATTATCTCATTCAATAGGATGCCATAAAGACTAAATATTTAATGGTAGCAATACATTCTAAATGCCACATAAACAAATACCATAGCGATACATACAGTAACTTCTGGCAGGTTAACATTATAGCAGGTTAATATTACACAGAACTCATTGAAAAGAGCCCAAGTAACACACAGAACATTTAGACATCTGACTGTTTCCAATCAAGAGAGCAAGATGTGGGACTTCCCTGGTGGTCCAGTGGTTGGGACTCCTTGCTCCCAATGCAGGGGGCATGGGTTCAATCCCTGGTCGGGGAACTAAGATCCCACATGCCCCATGGCACAGCCAAAAAATTTTAAAAGTAAAATAGAATAAACCATCTATAGATTTCAAATAATCAAAAAAAATTTTTAAAAAGAGAGCAAGATTTAAACTGATAAACATAAATTTAATCAAGACATCCCAATTCTTAAAAATCCCTGTGGTACGCAAATCTACCACCAAGGAATCTAAGACCTTTGAGGGAAAAAAAGGACAATGGGATGGAAGTTAAAAGAAACTCAGGGGCTTCCCTGGTGGCGCAGTGGGTGAGAGTCCGCCTGCCGATGCAGGGGACACGGGTTCGTGCCCCGGTCCGGGAAGATCCCACATGCCACGGAGCGGCTGGGCCCATGAGCCATGGCCGCTGAGCCTGCGCGTCCGAAGCCTGTGCTCCGCAACGAGAGAGGCCACAACAGTGAGAGGCCCGTGTAACGCAAAAAAACAAAACAAACAAACAAACAAAAAAAAGAAACTCAGGAGATCTTGAAAATACTTTAAAATTATTAAAATAAAATAGGGCAACCATAATAAGAGGAAAATAACACGGACATTTTATACATTTTGAACTTGTTCCAATAGGTACTATATTATTCGTTTTTATGTACAATTTCTGCTTGCTAAGAAACCTCTCAGAATCTGTCTTTTGTTACAATGAATTATAAATATTATTTGCTAAGAAACATTACCTTCTGCCCTATCTACATCTACATTCTTTATCCAAAGTGCTCAAAGAACAAACTTGATTCCAAAAGGCTTCACTATTTTAAATGTTTGGGTAAATTTTATTTCCCTTGCCTGGGAAAGTTGAGGTAGCCCCAGGCAAAAGTCCCTCCATAGCACAGCTCAGCCCAGGGTTTCCATCATGTCAGAAATAGGCTTTGGGACCCCTTTACTGTAGTTCAGCTCCCTGAATTTTAATAAACCAGAGAGCAGTACTAAGACCCTTTGGTTCTTTTATCAATTCCTAGGGCTTCTTTGAGAAATCTCTATTTCTACTGTGCTATAGCTTTTTAAAAATTGCCTCTTTTCAACTAACCCATTTCCTCTTTTTCTAGTTACAGCAGTAACAATTTGCAGATGAAACTATAAGTCAAAAGAAAAGACCTACAGAAGCAAATTCATGAATATCAGAATTTTATATAAAGATAAACTGTGGTTAGAAAACAGACGATAACAGTATTAGTCTCGATAACTAAGATAATGTGGTGTAAACTAATCTGCCTAGCAACCAACCAATGGCTTGGATGAAAATCAGTCAGCGATTCATTAATTTATGATGTTCCTACATTTATATACAGATACTAAGATAATAAGCTATATGAAAATTCCAGAGAAACAACATTTATGTTTACCTTCCTTGCAGGAAAATATAAAATACAAATGAATGCTGTTGAAATATTATATAAAACATGTTGGACTAAATAAGTAGCCTTCAAAATAAGTAATCCCTTCAAAAGGGAGCATCTTAAAACTTTTCAAGGAACGCATAGTTTTGTAAGCACACGTAGTTTTAAGGCACAGTTAGTTTAAAGGAATTGATTTTGGGATGCTAAATATGCAAATTAACACCTTCACTAAAACAGTGAGGGTAGAAATTTTCTCTCTTCAAGGAAAATAATCAAGGATGTAAGATTTCTGACATTTAAAGAAAAGTCTGTCATGCAGTTTTTTTAATGGATGATTATGGATATCAAACAGTTATGCCGAATATTCTACTGAATATATTTAAAAGAACAATAGTTTTATTTTTAAATGTCAATATTCACAATATCCTCAAAATTATATCTTTTGCAAACGTTTAAACTTACTATTAAAAAGTTTTAGCTGTCACACTATGGAGAACAGTATGGAGGTTCCTTAAAAAACTAAAAATGGAACTACCATACGACCCAGCAATCCCACTACTGGGCATATACCCGAGAAAACCATAATTTGAAAAGAGTCATGTACTACAATGTTCACTGCAGCTCTGTTTACAATAGCCAGGACATGGAGGCAACCTAAGTGTCCATTGACAGATGAATGGATAAAGAAGATGTGCCACATATATACTATGGGATATTACTCAGCCATAAAAAGAAATGAAATTGAGTTATTTGTAGTGAGGTGGATGGACCTAGAGTCTGTCATACAGAGTGAAGTAAGTCAGAAAGAGAAAAACAAATACCGTATGCTAACACATATGTATGGAATCTTAAAAAAAAAGGTTCTGACGAACCTAGGGGCAGGACAGGAATAAAGACACAGACATAGAGAATGGACTTGAGGACACGGAGAGGGACAAGGGTCAGCTGAGACAAAGTGAGAGAGTGGCATGGACATATATACACTACCAAATGTAAAATAGATAGCTAGTGGGAAGTGGCTGCATAGCACAAGGAGATCAGCTCAGTGCTTTGTGACCACCTAGAGGGGTGGGATAAGGAGGGTGGGAGGGAGACGCGTGAGGGAGGAGATATGGGGGTATATGTATACATATAGCTGATTCACTTTGTTATAAAGCAGAAACTAACACACCATTGTAAAGCAATTATACTCCAATAAAGATGTTAAAAAAACAAAAACGTTTTAGCTGTCAATATAAAAATGTGCAAGGGATTAACATTTCTTGATACTCATTAGAGAGATGGTGAGCAAAAAAGTTTGAAAGCCACTGGACTAAATCATGTCAAGGTTTCACTAACCTCTAGTATTCTAATGTCAAGATTCTAAATAAGGCTCTCTCTATATAAGTCCTAGGTTATCTGGAGTGACACAGAAAGGTTGGGCCCATTAAAGAGCCCTTGGTAGAGAAGGTGAGATTTGAGCAGGGTTTTATGAATGGAAAACAGGGAACCTGAAGAACCTGGGAAAAGATGAAGAGGCCTCTGCAGGAGAGGGGAAGTGGACGTGCCCGGGGGGAAAATGGGAAGAGTGTGGGTTTTCAGGTCGCAAGAAGCTTGAGTTCAAATTCAGGTTTTATTACATTTTGGCTGAGCTACTTTGAAGAAATCTTCATTTCTATTTTGATGATCAAACGAAGAGACAGAAAATAAATTTTTAAATTATAAACTAATAGCACATGTTAGTCATTAAACCCTTTTCCGCAGAAACCATTGAGCAGTAGCAGTTTACACAATGGTCAAAAGCATGAGCTCTAGAACCAACAGCGTGTGTTAAGAGAAAAACTGCCATTTCCTGGAGGAAGGATCTCAGCCAGGTTAACGAAACCTCTCTGTGCTCAATTAGCCTTATGTGTAAAATGGAAATAATTGAGGAACAGCCCACTTGATAGGGTTATTGTGAGGATTAAGTGAGTTAGTGCATGTAAAGAGCTTAAAATCATACTCAAAAGAATTATGTGGTTGCTTTATTATTGTTGGTGGTGGTATTCCTATCATTCTCCCTGATTCTCAATGTCAAACAGAGGTCAAGAGATTACCAACCACTAATACGTATTTGTTGGATTAAGAATCTAAAAAGGGGTTGGGGTCTGGTGGGGAGGGAGGATAGGCAGGCCGCTAAGTCTGTAGGAGGGCTTTAATAATAAAGCCGCCAAAATGGCTCCCTGGTTTCTCCGGAAAAGTATGTGACAATGATCTGGTGAACTTCTCTGCTGTCATAACTAACAAAGTAGCCTATATCTTTTCCCCTTGCTTAAAAGCCAAAACCCCAAAAGAACACATTGCAATTTATGCTACAAAGAATATCTTGATATAATCGGTAGGATTATATTTGGTAGTTAAGATGGCACATTTATTAGAAATGATTCTGCAATATGGTAGGTACATTCTGTCCTTACCTAAGGGAGTTCTGACACTAAAGGACCAAAAGACCTCATTATAAAATACCCTTACCTATTATTAACATACCAACCACAGAACCAAAAGTAGCAATATGACACAAACCCTTTGAGCTCTGAATGTAATTTTTTAGTCTTTATTGGAATACTTTTTAAATTACAAAAGTAATTCGTAGTTCCTCATTCACATTCTTTAAAATACATACACATATATTTATACACACACACACACACACACACACACACACTTTTTAAAAAATAAAAAATTGGTTTTCCACCTCTGACTTTTCAAATCACATTCAGGACAAGATGCATAGTTTTTCAGAAATTATTTTAGAAGTTAGAAGTTTTGGCTAAAGTTTGACCAAAATGTGGAAACACAAAGCTCAGAAATGTGTTATTTTAAGAAAAGCATTTAAAAGACCATGTTTTAACTTTTAAAAAGAAGTCCCAGAACTATAACTACAGGGTAATGTGCCAAATAGATTGTGCTGCTTTCCAATGTCATTTAAGCATTCTATCTGAGCTAAAACTCAGGATATGTTCAATATTCTGAGATTTTGTTAACAGGTAATATGTACTGAGAAGCAATAGATCGGCATTAGGAATTTTTAACTTACAAGTATGTCTGGCCAGTGAGTAGTTGGATCCACCACTAGTCAAACCAAATCCCTCAGGAATTTGACTAGAGCTTCGAGGTCTGGTCAGCAGTTTAGGAGGTTCAATTTCTGCACCAAATTCAGCTCCTATTACTCCTAGTAAAACAATAGCAGTAGCTTGCTTTCGTCTTTCCTCATAAGATGTGGAAATTTTTTTCATCTGTGGGACACTTGATAAGCAACCTGAAAACCAAAACATAAGAATAGAAATTAAAAGACTATCAATACATATGATAAGAAACACATTCCAGATTGGTCACTCAGGAATGAACAGGCTTTTCAACAAATGGCACTGGGACAACTAGTTTTCCATGTGCAAAAGAATGAAATTGGATTTCTACCTCTCACCATGTAAGAAAATCAACTCAAAATGGATTACAGTCCTAAATATAAGAGCTAAAACTAAATAACTTACAGAAAAAAAAATAGATGTATATTTTTTCATGATCTTGGTTACACAATGATTTCTTAGATCTTATAGCAAAAGCATGAGTAATTAAAAATTTTTTTTAAATTGAACTTCAGTATTAAAAACTTTTGAGCTTCAAATGACATAATTAGGAAAGTAAAAAGAACATACAGACTGAGAGAAAATATTGCAAATTATATATCTAATAAGGGATTGTATCCAGAATACTTAAGGACCTCTTCTTACAACTCAATATTAAGAAAATCCAACTTTTAAAATGAGCAACCAATTTAAATAGATATTTCTCCAAAGATATATGAATGGCCAATATGCATATTAAAGCTGCTCAACATCATTGGTCCTTAGAAAAATGGAAATCGAAACCACAGTGAGATACCACTTCACATCTACTAGAATGGCTGCAATTAAAAGGACCGACCATGACATGTATTACTGAGTCTGTACAGAAATTGAATCTCTCATGCATTGCTGGTGGCAATGTACAATGATACAACTATTAATACTTTGGAAAATAGTTTGGCAGTTAGAGTTATAACATATGGCCCAGCAATCCCACTCCTAGGTATCTACCCAAGAGGAGTGAAAACAAACGTACACATAAAGACTTGTACATGAATGTCCATAGCAGCATTATTCGTAAGAGCCAAAAAGTAGAAACAACTCAAAAGTCCATCAGCTGATAAACGTCTAAACAAAATGTGCTACACCCATCCAATAAAATATTATTCAGCAATAAAAAGGAATGAAGCATTAATACATGCTGCAATGTGGATGACCTTGAAAACAATATGCTAAGGGAAAAAAGCCAGTCACAAAGGACCACGTGTTGTTGTATAATTCCATTTACATGAAATGTCCAGAATAGGCAAATCTATATAGACAGAAAGTAGACTGGGACTGAGGTGAAATGGTTAATGATGGCTAATGAGTACTAGGTTTTTGAGATGAAAATCTTACAAAATTAGATTATGATATCTGCACAACTCCAAATATACTAAGAATCGCTGGATTCTACATTTTAAAGGATGAATTTTATGGAATATAAATCATACCTAAATAAAGCTGTTTTTAAGAAAAAATTGCTAACTCATTTATTAATTTGCCCACTAACTTTACAAATATTTATCGAGCACCTACTCTGGGCCAGGGAATTGCAAATAGGAAAATAAGTAGTCCAGGTTCTCAAGAAGCTCACTAGTACATACAAAAGGAGGAAATGCTGAATTTAAAACTCAAAAGATAAGTGGAAGTTTGCCAGGAAATAAGAGAGATGGACAACAAGATGAAGGCAAAGGATGAATATTTTGTCCAGATGGACCAGAATGCAGAAGCCCAACCTGCCGTTTGAAGAAGTACTCACAACCTGGGCAAAGCTCAGTATAATTTCATATGCAGAAGAAATGCCAGCATGACACCCAAAACATAATGGAGAACAATTCGAAATCTATATTAAAGTATCAGTAACTAGGTAATGGGGAATTACACTCTTAACACATAACACTACTTCTTAAAATTTACTTTCCCAGCCTTTCTCTAAGGTAACTACACCTCATTCATTCTCCCAAATGCTCTCAAGATTTGGTCTTTTGCTCAGTCTTACCCTTTTCTAGTTCTACTTGTTTCTGTAAGTGGTCTACCTTTTATTTTTTTGTTTGACATTTATTATACGATATCACAAACATCAAAAGAATTACATTGAGAATATATAAAGAATATCATGAAATATACATGTATACAAGTAACTTCATAAAATCTTAATGTTTTCCATAGGTGCTTGCAGATTTTTAAAAGTAATTAATTAATGTGGATATAACTAAAGCCTACCATGGATTGTGTCTTGACGTTACTATGCCTCCCTCTTGCCCTAGAGGTCACCATGATCCTCACCTTATCAAATACTTTTAATCTATTATATCTATATCTATCTATTATATAACCATATCAATGTTACCTGAGATGTATATTTTCTGGCCTTGAACTATGCTTGCATTCCAGGGGTAAACTCAGAGTACATGGATGAATGGAGATCAATAGATAGGTAGGTAGGTAGGTAGGTAAATAGGCCAATAGACAGACTCTGAACTAAATTTGCTAATAGAGTTTTTTGAGTTTATGTCCATAGGCAAGATTGAACTATGATTTTCTTTTCATGTACTATTCTTGTTGGGTCTTGGTAGCAATATAATACAAGCCTCCAAAACTGGGTTTTCACTCCCCAATTCTTTGAAAACAGTTAAAGGATTCTTGAAGTTAGATGACAATTCTCCTCTAAAATGACCAGGGCCTGTGTCTCAGGATGCTGCCCTTCTTGAATCAGGGAGTAGGGGATGCAGGGGCAGGGAAGGTGCAAGGGTGGAAGAAGGAATATTTTTTTATTATGAATTCATTTTCTGTAATACTTAGTTATTTGGTTTGATTTTCTGTTTCTTCTTGAATCATTCTGGATAGCTTATAGTTTTAGAATTACCCATTTCATCTAAGTTTTTAAATGTATTGGTCTGAAGTTATTTAGAGTGTTCTCTATGATTTAAAAATCTCAATTGTACCAGTTGCTACGAATCCTTTTAAGTATTATTTCCTTGTGCCTTCTCTAATATTATTTTTCATGCCTTTCTTAATCAGTTTTTCTAGAAATATATATTTTATCAGATTTCCAAAAATACTGTGGTTTTGATCTTACTGTTTCAGCTTTCTATTTCACTAATTTCTGCTGTTATTTTTATTATTTCTCCCACTTCCTTTAGGTTTTCTCTCTGTTCTCTCTTTCTCTTTGCTTTATTTCTAGGTTCCCAGATTGAACACAGCTCACTTCTTTTCATTATTTTCTATTATGGTTAACAGTACAAGTCACAGAGTGAGCACCCATTTTCCTCTACTCCTTTAATAATACAACCTCAATTTTAACTGAATAGCAATGTATTCCTATTCTTTCCATGTCCTTCCAGGAACCGAGGAAGCCATAAACTAGCTCCTGGCCTTAAGCTCTATTCATTGCGTATTTTAAGTCCTCTTTGCTCATAGGAGCCAAAGCCTACTTCTGGAAAGCAACTATTGGTTTTAGTCCAGATCACTGCATTTCTATTCCATTACTTGTCCACAACGATATCTATCTTTCTTGAGCCTAGTTATGCCTTGTTGGTTTTCTATTTGTATATTTAATCCATCATAGCTACACATTTGGTACAGAGGGATTTCAAAAGTGAACTTCTGAAGCCATCCTGATTGGAGGTCAGCTTTCTGCTCTTTCTAATATTAACCCATCCAGCTTTTCTGGCTTCTTTCAATACATTGTTCTATACATTAATTAAATCAATACAGTGAAGGGTCCTCAGAGCAGTATGCCAACCAAGAAATTAGCAGTAGGGGCCTCGGAATACTTTTAGATGTTTTATTTTGTCTCTTCATTTGTTTCTTTTTTTCCTTTTGTCATTCTACACTACTGCAAGTAAGGCAGGGAATGACAAAAGGGGAAGCTAAATAGGTACTGAAACAAGAGGCCTTTGTACAGCAAGCTGAAGACTTCTAACTTTAGGCTAATGGAAAGCCACTGAACAATTCTGTATAAGCTGGTTACTTGAGATTTATTGTCAGAAAGCTCATGATAGCAGTAGTATGGGAGGGGGACTGTGAGGTAAAGCAAGACTGGTGTCAAGTAGAAGCAAAAGACGGCTCATGCAATGGTCAAGTGGAAAACAGCGAGCACCAGTGGTGGCAGAATTCACGATTCATTCCATCAGCTACTCAGTCATTCAACATATAAGGACCAAAGATGGAGTGTGTGCATGGCATTATGCAAATATGAACTAATGAATTGATACGGGATGAATTAAGATGAATTAATAGGGATAAGAAAAGCAAAGTCCCTGTCCTCATTGAATTTAGAGGCAACTAAACAGGAATTAGAAATGTAAAGGTGAAAAATCAATGAGAACTTTATGGTCTAAGAGAACAGTACGTGTAAGAACCTAAAGCATAAAGAATTTGTTGATTTCTATTGCAAGAGTAGGTCACGGGGCTGGAATGCTACGAGCAAGAAGGGAATGGTAGAACGTGAGGCGACAGTCAGGAAAGGGGCAAATCATAGATGACTCTACTGGTCATATTCGCATTGTTCAATCCTTTGAACAACGGAATTTAGGGTTTTAGAAAAACACTCTGAGCGTGCACGAAGAATGCTGGAAATGAGATGAGCAATAAACAGGGTATTGTAGAAATGAAAGTGAGAGATTCAGGTTGGTTTGGTGTTTGGATGTTAAATAGGAGATGCAGAGAAGTGGATGGCTTCCAGATCCTGGTGAGGTCTGGGTAGTTGATAGAAACACTACAGAAAGATATTTGGTGTCATGCTCTGAATCCTTTAAAAAATCCTCATTAACTAAAACAAAAGTAAAACAAAATTTTTAAAACCCTTGCAAGAGAGGTAGGTCTGGCCCTTCCAGAAGCCAAATTAAAAAAAAAAAAAAAAACCTAGAGCACAAGGTTTCTTAGTATACTTAAATTCCATTTATTTAGCTGTGCTGAGAGACAGAATAGGATGTGGGCAAGAAGACCCAGCTGAATCTAAGAAATGGAAATGGAAAGATATTACAAAGATGTGAAGAGTTGGAAAGGAATCATTGAATAAAAAAAGTGGCATTAAAGCTCTTAAGGAAAAATGGGCGATTAGTTATCTAGGAAGCTGAGGTGGTAATGTCAAAGAGTAGTTACTGTTTATTTGAATTCCAAGAAAATTTTGGTGCGATTGAGAACGAAA